ATAAGGAGCATTGGCGAAAGCCTTGGCTATTGTGAAAAAGTAGAGATAACCACCACTATTGCAAGGAAAGACCAGAAACGAGTTAATCTTCAACAACAAAAGTTCTCTGGCCCTGGAGGTTGTATCAAAGTCAATTCGGGATGTCAAGGAATGGCAGGACAAGCAGGAGCGTAAAACCAAACCAGCTGAAGTTTTGGTGGCTAGGCAGAGTGATGAGCCCATAGGTGAAGTGGTTTGCCAGACAGATGCGGCTTGGAGAGAAGACATACATGTTGCTGGCTTGGGATGGGTCTTCAAATACCATAATCAGCAAACCGTGCAGCACTTCACAAGAGCTGTGACTCATGTATGTTCTCCCCTCATGGCAGAAGGTTTAGCCATCCGTTCAGCGCTTTTGAAGGCTGTTGAAAAGACAAGATAAGGACTTTCTCAGTAGAATCCGACTCCTTTCAAATGATTAGAGCCATCTTGACAGGCTCAAGTGTTTCCAAACTCCAAGGTATCCTCCACGATATCTTGGTCCTATCTAAAAGTTTCGTTTCAATTTACTTTTAAGTTTATTCCACGGACAACAAACCTAGTTGCTGATTCCCTAGCTAAGAATGCCTTGTATGACTATGTCAAACCTTAAGCATTTATAAAATCTCGATTGACAAAAAAAAAAAGACGATGAAGAAAGAAAAGAGAGCAGAGAAATCAGACAGAATCTCATCGATGTTCGAATGTTGGTATAGTGTTAAAATCTATAAACTTTTATAAGTGAAGTTATTCGTTCGTGGAACGGCTCCAAAACGTAATTAAGAACACAAGATAAAAAAAAAAACAATCCGAATCCCTAATTCAGAGATCATAAACCCTAGTGTATCGATTGAAAGGAAAACTCACGGTGCTTGAGCATTGGGTTTCAATGTGAGGTCTTCGGGGAACGAAGACGTCGGAATTTTGATCGTATCTGTTCGCCGGTGAGAATTCATTATCTCCAAAAGTAGCTTTGAGTTTGACGGCACGCCACAGGGTTAGGTTAAACCGGTAGTTGTAAGG